AAGTGATCGTTTCAACACACACTGTGAGCAAGACTGTAAGTCTTAATCGTTAATTCTGTCCCCAGCTGCCAGCGGAGGTGTCAGGGTGCGGTTTGGTGAGCAGGTTGTAGGCAGGTTGGTGGACCCAAACACAGGACACGAAGGCTGACTGGTGCAGTTCAGTGGTTTATTAGAGGCAACAAAAGGCGAGCTCACTTACAGAGTGGCTGATCAACAGAGTCCAAGACAAAGTTATCCAACAGAAATCCCAAAACCCAAAGCAGGGTGACAAGACTGAGCAGACAAAACAGGACATCGCACACAGGAACACGAGGAACACGAGGTAGCACAAGGTAACGATCCAACAAGGACAAGGCAGAAACACCAGGTATATATTCACAGGGACTAACGAGCAGGGCGGGAGCAACACAGGTGAAAGACATGAGACTTACGAGGCAGGCAGAGAGACAGCAGGGAAGACAGAGAGAAGCAGGCAGGCAGAGACAGCAAAGGGGAACAAAGAGGCAGGCAGACAGAGTGATAACTGGGGGAAACAGACGGAACACTTGACAGGCAAACATGGGGCCAAGTAACCCACACAGACAGAACACAGACCAGAATAAAACACTAAGACACAAAACTAGGAGCTAAGACACAGGGCTGAGATGCAGGAAACAATCTATAACACATGACAGACCGGTACAAAGAGAGCTGAACAGAACCAGTAAATGAACAAGGGAATACACAGAGCTAAACAGAGAACACAAGACCAGGAGTAAACACTAAAGACATGAACTAAAGTACAGGACTAAGAACGAAGACATTGAACCAAAACCGACTAAATAGCAGATACAAAACCAAACCCGAAAACACAGCACTCAGGACAGGATCGTGACAAGAGGAGTGATCCTAGCAAGATAAAAGGTCAAAAAACATTGTGGTGTCCTCTCCCTGTTGTTCCAAAAATCGACAGTACACTATGTACTCAATTTGGGAGGATTTAACAATTTATGAAACTTTGTGCCACCTACGCCAAATGAAATCCATACACATGGAAAAGTAATACAATATGAATCCTTTATTCAAAAAGCAATTAATCCACAACACAGTCTCCCTCCCTACTCGTCAAATGTCTGACGCATGTTCAAGGGACCCTGGCGTCACTTTTTTGACACACTGGGTATACCTTCGGCTTCATTTTTCAACGTGCGGGGCAGTCCAATAGACTTCTATAGAACTCAACAGCGTTGAAATTTGACGTCTTGGGTCGATCACCGCACCGCAACCCGTCGTCTGCCTTGTGGGTCGAGACAACAATAAATAAAAATAAAAAGGAATACGCTACCAAAAATTATCTATACCAGGGCGATTCAAATGCCCTCCAACTGGTGTTTGATGTTTAAAAACCCTCGCAATCTGATATCAAAGGGCCCTCAAAAGTTAAGCGCGTTCATCAGCGGTGAGTTTAACAACGCACATGGTGTGCAACCACATTCAGCGGTGAGTTTAACAACACTCAACTGCAGGTAAAACGGCATTCAGAGGTGAGTTTGACCAAAGCAACGCACAACTGCAGGTAAAACGTAATTAAAAGGTGAGTTTAACGCTTCAATGCGCGTGCAAGTATGCAGTTTTAAAGCGTTTTCTTATCATAGGTAAAACACTAGAGCATGCTGGATAACGTATTTCTATCGGAGGTTTGTTGATTTTAATATGCTACTATTGTGTTCAATTAATCATTTTTTAAAAATTATTATTTTTACTAAATCCTCTAAATTAATAATGCTGACGTCACCGTATGGGCGATCCCAAGGTCCATTGCGATTTTCCACTGGGTAAGTAGAAGGGTTCATTAATAGAGATGGATCCTCTTCTTACATTTACACATCAAAAACGGTTGGATCAGGACAAGAAATTGTGTTTAGAAACTTTAGATTTGTAAGGTGGCCCTTTCTTATGACGAGAAATGATAGAAGACATTATAAAAATATAGCTTGAACTGCACCAAATGTGCAAGCTAGCAAAGTTAGCTAAGTTAATTGAATTCAAGTTCATTTTTGTCGCATATTATCATGTAAGGTACAATCATAGGGGAATGTAAGATTTTCAGATTTTTATTACATAGCCCTCAACTATCCTGTAGAAAATTCATGGCATAGAGACTGATATAAGTGCATGGTTATTGTTGCAGTGACACTAAACACTAAACAGTTAACCTTAAAGTTAGCTGCTCAATCGTTCTCATTGTTTTGGTAGAAAGCAATTATGCCAATAAGTTATGTTGTGTTTGTTTACACTGTCTTAAGTGCACTCTAGAAAATGTGTGTGTGTGTGTGTGTGTGTGTGTGTGTGTGTGTGTGGTGTAGATTTCTCGAAAGAAGTTCAGGCCTTGCCCCTCCTGCCAAGCACCTAACCAGGTGAGGGAAAGTCAAATAGAGCATTATGTCCAGTATTCAAATATGTGGTTTTAAATGTTATACATTTCTCATTATTAGGTCAATTGGACACTAAAGTATACTCCTACTAAACGACCCTGTATGATAAGTGTTCTGTGTTACAAAACAGTGATAATTTAAGGCATCTGGTTGATATCAATTTTGATTGCTTGTTTTGCACCAAATGCCATAGGCAACATTGATTTAGCCTGGGTGTCTCCTACATCTGCCACTTTCACTGTATGATAATAATAATAATAATCCTGTGTCAATCTAGAGATGCATATTCTGAATTGCATTGTGCTTTGTGTGTTCCTCTCTTTCCTGTATACAGCCAAATTAAACTGTATATTGATTCTACTTCTTCTCTGTGACTGTGGATCTGATGTCTCACTTTGGTATACTTTTACTAACACAGGTGAGCCGCAAAACCTGCAGCTCTTGTTTCGCAGCCATCTCCCAAAAAAAGAAAGTAAAAAAACGTGACCCTGGACAGGAAGTGGGGGGAAAGGGTCCTAAAAAACAGAAATGCAGGAAGAGTGGTGGACTCTGCCCATATTGCAGTAAGTAGAAATGCTCATATTTCATTAAGCAATATGATTTGTTTCACTTTCATTAATATTTTGTGATAGGGCAAGGGCCTCATTTTACAAAAATAAGTTGAATTTGTCAGTGAATGAATTTGAGGTAGTCATAGATGGCATTGGTGTAACATATTATTTGAATTAATTTGTAATTTGCTTGACATGCATAGAATAGACTTTCTTTTTGACCAGGCGCTCATGTACATTTGTTTACATGTACTACCGGCTACATTGCAAATATAACCTTGCTTTAGTACCACACAGGTACTTCAGTATGCGTGTTACTGAAGTTTCTGTCTCTGCTAAAGGCAGATCACAGAATTCAGATCCAGAGTCACTATTAAAGACAGTCTTGCATGATTATGTAAGTAGATAACATGCTCTTACCTTGCACTACCACCCCTAGCATGTGAATATTGCATCGCACACTTATAGTGCCTTGCGCTGTGTTCATTTTAGAGAAAGTGCATGATGATGTGACAGAATAACTCAGGACATGTGTGAAAGCCATGCTGTGTGCAACATATGTGTTGTTAAAAGCAAGGCCATATTCCAGGTGTCCTATTTCAAAGACACAACTTAAAAAAGTATTTGAATTACTACAGGGGAGATTAATGTCGGGTTAAAAGTGGAAAGGATTCGACTATACCTACTGGAGTAGGACCGAGACCAGGTTCTGTAGTGCAGCTGGCTATTTTATGTCCGTTGGTGGCATTCCCAAATGAGTGTTTCTGTTAGTCCCCCAATCTACATTTGCCGTGGGCAGAGACAGGTAGACGACCAAGGGGGGGAGGAGAGTGTTTGGATCAGGTGGATAGGTGGCCATAAAGAGTTAGTCCAGTCAAAATGTATTTTTATCATATTTTGTTTTGTGTGTGTCCAATCAATATAATTATTTTTGAAGGGTGTCAGGACTTTTTGTGTTCCCTTTAGAATCCCAGATTGCTAACTATTTGACCACCAGCATCCAGCACAACATTAGATGAATATTGGTTGTATAGAGCAGGGGTTCTCAAACTGTTTGTGCCAAGGACCCTTTGTGTGGGAGAAGAATTTCCAAGGACCCCCTCATAATTAAAACAATTAAGCATATGCTTGCTACCATTTGTATACTTTGATGCCATTTTTATTCTCTTGGTGTGTACTTACTTGGTCTTTAGTCAACTTTGGATTTTGAATCACTTAATGATGTGGACTGACTCAAACATTTATCCATGTTCATCAGCTATCTTAATGGCAAATAAGCCAAGCTAAGCAGCAGGAAGAATGGTTCATCATGACCTGAGTGAAGTGATTCACAACAGATTGACTTGATTAATCATAATCACAAAAAAAGTTCAATGTTAATGTTTTAATTTATTAGTGCATTCATAATCAAGAGTTTATATGTAGATTCTAGATCATTACATCGTCATTGATAAGCATTTCTTAACGATTAAGCACAACTTTCTCATTCGAAACAAATCCACTTTGAGAACCACTGGTATAGAGTACATATTTCACGAGTTCACACTTACATCAATTTAACAGAGTAAAGATTATGAGTATTTGGCGTGCGGTCCGGGGGGGGTCTCCAGCTCAGGATTTTTGCCTGAACCCAGAGTACTTCCCCCATTGTTATAAAAGTATTTAGGGCTAGAAGTGAGGAGATGGGGTGGTGGAGGGATGCTGTCAAACTGTCAACGGACAGAGGTAAGCTTGTTGTTATATATACACCTCTTAACTCGTTGATTGGATTGATTAGCAGAGTTTGCTCCACTCGTGTCTAATTGGGTTTAATTATCTGAACGTGCTCCTCCCGAACTTTGTTAATAAAACATCATGTAATGTTGTTTCTAAGGGGAAAAGCTGTTAAGGTTGGTCATGTAAGTTGTGTAGCCCGATATTAGAAACAGTAGCACTAATGTATTTAATGCAAATTTGTTTTCCAATTGGGTGGAAAGTAATGCAGTGGGAATAACTAATGTTTGCTGTCTGCATTTATTTATTACCGGTGAAAAAACTAAGTGCATTAGGCTATGTCCCAATTCTATTTTCGCAAAGAAAGATAAGGCCTCTGGAAAGTGGGTGTCTGATGTGGTGACCCATCTGCTACCCACTGAGGACAACCTAAAAATTGTGGCCACCATGAGAAAGGCCTACAATTTTGTATTGATCAAAGAAGGTAGGATTTGTGTAATTTAAGTCATGCCTGTTTTTTTTATGATGGTGAAATATTGAAAATTAACATACTCATGCAATATTGTAGGGAACTCCACGACGACATTGCCCGATCCACACCCTCAGGCCCAGCCCGATCCACACCCTCAGGCCCTGCCCGATCCACACCCTCAGGCCCAGCCCGATCCACACCCTCAGGCCCTGCCCGATCCACACCCTCAGGCCCTGCCCGATCCACACCCTCAGGCCCAGGAAAAGGAGACATTTTATATTTTATATTTACACCCTGTCTCTCTCCCTGTGAAGGAACAACCCCCCCCCCCAAAAAAGAAAGTGTAAGTTAACTGTGGTCTTAGCACACTATGTATGAATTTCTCCTTTTTGTAATCATTATTCATGAAATACAGAAATCTTTAGGTGAATTTAAGTGCAGTCAATTAGCGTAGTTAATGTGAGTAATTTTCAGTGGCCAGTCTGATACACAAAGGAGTTTGTCCTCGCACGCATACCTTTCAGTACTGAACACGCACACTCTAGGAGTAAAGCAATGAGCAATACACACTTGAGGAGAGATGAATACACACACACTCACGCACACATCAGTGGGCAGCCCAGGTAGCTTATCCCCCCCTATCACTGTTCACAATCTGCTTCAATAACCTTTAGGCCAGGCAGTAGGATAATTAGGCTAAATTTCGGCTATGAAATCACTGAATCTAATGGCTAAAGAGCAGTTCATTCCAGGAACTATAACGATAAAAGCGTCCAGACAGACTGACCAGCTATAAGCAAAGTCTCACCTTGTGTTAATAAATGTGATGGCTAAGATGTGATGGGTTCCTATTGGTTGTTAGCTCTTCTTTTTATTGTTCTCAAAATCGCTTTAAAAGCGATCCCCAACAATATTGTTCTCAATCTCGTTATAGTTTATCATATTAACGAGAACAATATTTTTTTATATAGTTATAGTTTTTGGTGTGAATGGCCCTTTATATATGTATTCTTCAGACGTTTTCAAAGTTCAAGGACAATGCTTAAAGTTGTTCCCCAGGTTTTATGAAACTTTAAGTTTAACTTTAAGTTTAATTTCCAGGTTTTTTTTACATTTATGGTTAATTAATATTATTATTATTATTATTATTGTCATTTTAAGGTTGCCGGAAATGTAGTAGGCAAAAAGTTTTCAAATATGACTCCATAACAGGACGAAGGATAAATGAGGTAAGAAATATATTTTTCATTAGGCTGTCTGATCATCTCTCCATTGTCTGTGGCTCATCTGGCATTTCACATATCACAAAATACTGACCATTTAAGCATTGGTAATTTGAGTCCATTTAAGTTCAACTGAAGGCCAAGTGGCCTTGCCCCAAAAATTATGAAATTCAAAACCTGATTATATGTTTTTGTCTTTCTGTAGGGGCAAGAGGAAGTAAGGGTGAAATGGTTACCTTGCTCTGCATGGTAAGTACTGCTTTATATTGGTTTATATTGCCTTCATACATGTACTCTTTTTCCACTTTTTACCATCTCATAGGTAGTGGATAAAGGTTGAAATTTATATTGTAGCACACAACTTTAAATGTACAGGTGGGTCTCAAAGTTTTGCAACCAAAAAGCAGCGTTGAGAGAATTGTCATGTCCACTAGGTTTTAGGTCCAGCGTCAATGCAGCCTTCTACCTGGAGATTTTAGAGCATGGTTCCATCTGCTGACGAGCTTTACGCACATGCTGATATCCTTTTCCAGCAGGACTCTGCCCCTGCCACAGTGCGAAAACTGCTAGTAACTGGGTTGCTTAGCATGGTATTGCTGTGCTTAACTCGTCTCACCTGAACCCCATAGAGAGGACAAAGATAGAAACCAAACCCAACATTAGAGACAACTTCAAGGTCACTATCAAAGCAACATGGGCTTTTATAACACCTCAGCAATGCCATACACTGATGGCCTCCACACCACACCACACCGATGCAGGAATTTGTGCAAAAGCAGCCACACCAAGTATAGAGTGTATGCATTAACAATTTTTGATAAGTCAGATTTGTTCATTTATTTTTGAAAGGTCGACATTTCTGTATTCCTCTTTATTATAATGTAGTGAGTTGATTGATTTTTTATTTTTTAAATTTTTTTCATGAGCTGTAATCAAGATTAAATCAACACAAATTGCTTCAAATGTTGCACAATATTGTAATTGTAGACCCATAGGGTATATACCAATATACCAATTGGTATAGGGTGGAATAAATGCAGTGTCAAATATTGTCTACAGGATTTAGCCACTTGCTCTTTTCAGTACTATGCATAATTCCCCCGGTGTGATGTCTATGTAGGAAGTAGACCTTCACCAATATATTGGCAGAACATCAGTATCGGCCAAGCTCATCCTTGTTGACTGATGTCAGCTATTGACTTTCTCTGACTTTATCTATGAGAGTGGCTGATGTTTATCTGTTACATTTCATCAAGCACTATATATGTATAGGTTTTATAAAAACAATGAAATACAAGACCGTACAATATTTTTTGAAAATATTTATGCTGTGAAACTATTGTTAAAATGGTTCTAATGTTATTTTTTTACTGATACTTACAGTGGAAAAATCTGGGAGGAGACATGGGAGCCGGCCTGCCAGTTCTCACCAGGTGCCAACCATGTGTAATGTCACACATTGGTCTGTAATTCAATGAGTTAAATACCTGCTATGAGATGTCAAGTTTGCCGTTACGGGCCCAGCCATCCTGCTTGCGGATGTGACTACTTTAGATGAGGAGGAGCCGCGTTACACACTTTCAATGGTTTCCACCCTAACATGCTGTCATGCTGTTTTTTCATTTATTTTTTAATTATTGATTTTTGTTAAAAGCTGTGTTCAAATAAATCGATGTATACCTTTATTTCTGTTTGTCTTTCCATTCACCTTGTGGTTTAGCCAATCATCTGAAGTCTTCAATGCATCAAATGATATATTGTAATGTGATGCACAAAGTATGTAGGAAGGTGGGACATGTTTTCATTCATATTAATTGACATCATTAAGGAACCGTTGATTCCACCAGCTAAACCATACATTTTCTGTAGAAAGGGTAGCTGAGGTAGGCAGGGGTGGATAAATGAACAGGCTTACCAGGACCAGAGGTCAAGAGGGTCCAGAAGCCTCTAAAAATTTGAAAGCATGCTTTCTAATTCAGGAAGTTTTCTAAAGGCAAGGCACATGAAACCCTGGCTGCTGCACTGTGGCCTTCCATTGACCTTGATGCACTAAATGTGTGTGTTCAAGTCTACCCCGGATGGGTAAAAGCAGAAGACTATATTTTTTTACTTTTGTTATTTCAGTCTATATGGGCCAATCTGGGTTTCTTGTTTATATTTTTAAAACTGTCAATATTCATTTAGATGTTATGGTATTTATTTATTTTAATATTTCGGTCTTATTTACGGTGAAATAATACAGTATGCTGTAATACAGAACATATGATCCGAGCTAGACGCAAAGACTCCACAATGCAATGCGGGCGTTCATTCACAGAATCGGTTGTCATTGGTTGTCACCAGCAACAACAAGTTGCTCAGCTTTGTACCAGCCGCAATACCAGAGAAAGGACTTTGGTAATACCGATTACCGACCGAAGACTCCGGAAGTGACGTAGTATGTGCCGCTCGGCGGATAAGAAGATAAAAATATATATTTGTGCAAAATTGACTTAATTTATTTAATATATGCTTTTTTGGAAATGTTCTAGATTTCTAAGAAATGTGTTTTTGCACTATTGTAAAACATTTCTTGAATAAAAAATAAAAAAATACACAGTATTCGTAATATTGATGTTTTTGTCTAACGTTGTATTTGAGGATTTAAACAATAAAGATAACAATAATAATAAAATACAGTTTAATGTATTTGTCTCATGTATTGTGTGCTCGTCGGCCGGCGGCAATCTGCAATGGAATGAAGCCCATTCACGGCCATAGTTACATAGTTACACGAACATGTCCCCCCACCCCCCCCCGGAATAACTACACATAAGCACTCGCTTTGTGTGGCGCGTCTCTTATGGGAGTTGTAGTTTTAAAGTATATTGGTATATTTCTCACAATTAGAAGTTAAAAGTGTAAAATTTTGGATACACCCTGTGTTTTTTTGGGATGGGGAACACACTGGTGTTATCAGATTTCAAAAAATGAATCGTTAAATAGGTGAGATAGCTTATTTCCATATTTGACAGTGCTTATACAGTGGGTAAACTTTGGTGACCATATCTACATGACAGCAGAGGCCCAGAGCTTTATATATAAATGCTGGTCTTATGTGTTTAGCACCTTCTGTTGCTAAATTACAAACCGAGATGGACTGGGTTCAAGGTTCAGAGGTCAATGCTCTCTGCAATGCTCTTCTGGCTGTACTTCCATCTTGTGCAACTAAACATCTACAAATGATCTGGAATGCTGCAGCTCGTCTTGTCTTCAACGAGCCCAAAAGGGCCCACGTCACTCCTCTGTTCATCTCTCTGCACTGGCTGCCACTCTCTGCTCGCATCAAGTTCAAGGCCTTGACACTTGCTTACAGATCGACCACTGGCTCAGCTCCCTCCTACTTTCACTCGCTCCTACGAGTCTACACCCCCACCAGAAGCCTACGATCGATCAATGAGCGACGGCTTGTGGTACCATCACAAAGAGCCACAAAATCACTCTCTAGAACGTTCTCATTCACAGTTCCATGCTGGTGGAATGATCTGCCCACCCTCATCCGGAATGCAGAATCCCTGACAGCATTCAAAAGACAACTGAAAACTCATCTCTTCCGAAAGCACTTAACATAAAAAAATAAAATAAAAATAAAAATCCTTTAAATCCTCACTTGCCTAGTTTATGCTACTCTGAGCAATGTTTGAGCACTTCTTGTGTTGTTATTGCCTCCTCACGATAACTTGTTTGGTTTAGACCTCAGATGTAAGTCGCTTTGGATAAAAGTGTCTGCTAAATGACTAAATGTAAAATGTAAATGTAAAATGTATGGAGAATAAAGATGGATCAGACCACATTCTTTATGCTTGCCTGGAGAGACTGGTTTCTATTCTTCTCCACAACCTTCATGACAGTCATATTAAAATGCTCTGTAATGCAGCCTTGTATAACATTAAACCCTCTGATTCACTGTGAGTGTTTGCTCTAAATGATAACACCCACTTTCAACACGGGCCTTCCAGCCAAAGGTATTGTCCATATACACCCCAAGGTGCCTGTAGGAGCAGAGCTGATGGATTGGTTCATCATTTATGACTTCTAATACCTTCTGACCCATGTCAAGAGCCTTTCATCAACTTGTGAAATGGTTGAATGAGATATGCTGTAAGCCGAGGAAGAAGTGTGCCAAAAATGCCAAAACACATGTTGTATACTGTATGTACACTAACCCTAACCCATAAATTGAAAATTTTAAAACTACTAATAATGCAGTGTGATTTTAAATCAAAGTCCCACCCATAAATATGCTCTCATGTTTTTTCCCCTTTAGTCTCAAAATAAAAAATGCTTCTCTTTTTATAGTTTTATTTTTGGTTTTTCACAATAGTACAACAAATCCAAATTAATCAAACAAGCCATTAGGCTGTATTTTTAAACACTCAACTGTAGTTTTTTTTTTATATAGTATATAAGGCAAATCAAAGTGCTTAGGTCAGGAAATGTAGTTATTAAAGCAAGTCTTGAAGTAATTCAACTTCCCAATTAAACATCCAAATTCAGAAAAATTTTTGTGTGTATATAATAACCACTATAGTGTCTATAATTAAGTCACATTTTCAAGTTTTGGGCCAGTTTTTGCATTTGTTGAACCTCTATGTACCTTCACTGCACATGAGAAGCAGCTGAATAAGTCCTGTCAAGGATGCTTTCAGAGACCATCTGTAGCAGGTGAGTTGATGCAAGAAAAAAATGGGGTTGTGTGTCCATGTAAAACTGTCAGAAAACTCAGATTTGCCACAGCAGATGACATCAGTGGAATTATGTTTTTTATTAGTAAAATACACATATTTACACCTTCCTGTAAACTTTTCTGCACATAGTTTTGTTCTACCATAAACAGAAGACGACTATTCGAAAAACAGTTTCTTAAATTAATTTCAGTTTGTATAACTACATTCATTATTATTGTTGTAAAGTAACATGTAGATATGATAATTACTATTATTCAAGCATATCTGACTTACAGTGTTTCCTCTTTGTTGATTTGACCGTGGTGGCCCCCCACAGCAACATTTCGAGATGGTTCTCACTGCGGAACATGAAATCCATGGGGAGGAGTCGGATCCAGATCCAACTCCTCCCACCTTACATACACCTAAACCTACCCAACTCCGCCCCCGATCCCTAAACCCAACCCTAATCCTACCCATCTCCACCCCTTGGATCTTGATCCGACTCCTCCCCGTGGATCTCATGTACTGCATTGAGGTGCTACTGAACATTTCTGCCCCCCACGGTATCAGAAATAGGGCGATTATAGTGTCGATTTCACTGAATATGATCAAAAACTTGAGCATAGCAGTCTCTTGCATGCTTCATCATTCTGGTGACTTCTTGCTTCTTTCTCAAAGTTAAGCTGAGGAAACCCTCGATCCCTTCTTCATTTAGAGCCCACAGCTCACCTTATGGGAGTAAAACAAAAAATTATCAGAAAAAAAATGACAATGTAGAGTATAGTATTACAACACATTACTTAAATACGTACTTTGCAATGCCTCACTGGAAAGCTGGGATGACATCTCCTTGAGTGTGTCTGCACGAGTGGAGAGAGATTTCCAATGCTTTGCCATCTCAGAAAGAACAATCTTCTTCTCCTCCTCAAGTCTCCTTATTGCCATCACAACATCAAACGCCTTCCTCTTGATTTTCAAATCTACAGCGTCTGGGATACAGTTGTGGAAAATAAGTAAATTGTAAGTATGATTATTTTCAAATAATATTTGAGATAATCTGGGATAAGGCATAATTGGTTTTGTGCTACTATGTGAATCAAACAAAATTGTCAACAGATTTGTGTACATACCACCATGTGAAAGTTGCCATGGCCAAACTGTCTCGTCAGAGAGAATGATGTCAAAGACGATTCTTTCTTTCCGACCTTTGCTGCCATCGGTGTCTTTGTAAAGGCGCTGGGACCTTCTTTTAATGCTGGCCACCAGCACCTCCATTCTACGGTCACCGCGTCAAGATCGGCATTCTTTTGGGACGTTGTTGCTGAGAAGAAAAGAAGTGTAAACATTTCACTTACATTTTCATGGCAGTAACTGAAACGAGCTAAGTCTCAGTGTAACACAGAACGCCACAGGGAAGTCATAAGGATTACCTTAACCTCTTTGCTGCTTTTTTTTTCTTTATAAAAAAAAGCTCCTGGAGGAAGGACAGGTGAGTCTCAATATTCATTTCATATTTATTAGCATGTATAGGAAGTATGTAACAGGGTACCAAAGAAAATGACAACGTAGCCAAGATGGGATCCGCTAACTGCAAGAAATGTCGGAAACACTTTATTTTACGGTGTCCTTGTTACATATGTTACATGAACTTAAATAGTAATAACAATAAATTATGCATAATTACATGTAACTAACCCTCAACCAAATCCTAATCCTACCCTAATCCTATAGTAAGTACATGTAGTTAATTATATTACTCCGTATTTAAATGTATAATTACAATCTTAAAAGGACACCTTAAAATAAAGTGTTGAATGTCACCGAAATGTCCAATGTTCCAACTTTTGGACTGTGCACCATTCAGGTACTTTCAGGGCACTTTGTTTTGACATGATTTCCAGTGTGCATGCACTACATACTAAAATTTGGCATTTTAACTGCACAAGTAAATGACCAAGAAAACAGTGTATGTATGATTTCATTTTAAAACAGTAATTACTTGCAGAAGCATGTCTCCCATTATTCTGCAGAACTGAGACATTGAAATAATAGTATAACTATCACCTTCTGCCCACTCCTTAATATCAGTGACCCAGCCCTCAACTTCAACCTGTGTCACTGCCAGCTGGATTTTCATGCTTTCCAGATCCTGAAGTTGGCTTTCCAGGCGTTTTGCGGCCTTCAAATAACAAAAAAAGGAAATGAAATAAAAATGTTATACCTACAAAAATATACAATAGAAGGTATTTACAATATAAAAAATAACAATACTCATCTCTACCTTCTGATATCGGCAGGCAAGTGAAGCAGCCAAGTTATTAAACTTTTGCTGATTCCAGCGCATGGCCATCAGTGTAAGCATGTCTGTACGTCCTGTAAAAAAGAAAAGAAAATACACTAATCTGTGTTGTACCACATGTCCCTCACTGGCTACAATTTTCTTGTAACACATTCAATCTAAGTAGTGCAGTGTGTGGTTACCTTACCTGCTTTGGACATGTGCTTTGTGGTCACAGCAATCCTAGAGAGGAAGGCGTTACACTGCTCAACCTCCTCCCCAAGTGTCAATCCGGCCCCTTGCTGGTAAGCTCCACTCCATTTAACCTATTGAAGAAAATACTTAAAAGCTGCCAACATACCTTTGCAGGTGTTTAGGGACGGTTAATGACATGGTAATGTTTTCTTACCTCGCATTTAAAATCATGGGCTTTGGCATGAAACACTGAGAGGAATGGTTTCATGCTCAGAAGGTGCTGGAGCTCCGGGCAGCTTTTTGTCACTTTGTGGAGGTAGGGCCAGTACTTGCAGGTTACATCCATGGCAAAAAAGCTTATTGACTTATTTGCCAGCTTGTTCTGCAGGTAGAGGGGATAAGCATATATTTCTCCCCTGAACATGTTGAGAGCGCCGAGAAAAACTCCATGTCGACAGACCGCAAGCTCAAGTCCCTCCTCATCAATTTTACTAGAGGATCTCTGAGAAGTTTCCCTGGCAGCTGACCACTCCCCTCCACAGACACCTCTTCCAGAGACCTACAACATGGAAAAAGGTTGATATAAATAGTCAGGACTCACCCAAACAATGTCAACTGTAAAATGTTATTGGTCGTGTTTTTAGAAATATTATACAACAAGTTTACATGGTTGGTGTTGGAATGAATGTAATCCACAAATCTTTCTACTTCATCATCTTTTGCAATGAAGATGCCATCAAATAAGGCTTGTTCTTCAGATCTAATTGAAAGAAAGGTACACATTGACCTTCAATATGACACAGCAAAGGTTACTTTAACAACACTGCAAATTACACACATTTTGTAATTGCTGCGTTCTTAAAGCGGTAGTGCTTGCGATTTCAGTCCACAGAAACAGCAAGCATGTCTGGGGTGCATGCAGGACAGATAAAATGCTCCTCCCTGCAGATCTTATCCACTTCAAATCTAACAGCCTCCCACTCTAAAAAGCTTTTTTGAAGCTGTCTGCTGTGATCTTCCCAGTCTGTTTCAGAACAGTAAAACATGTCAACATAATTCACAGTTAAGTTAACTAAAGTTAATAAGGTCAAAGGTGACACCAAATCCTCTGCATCGAGCCTCCACAGCAGTCGCTCAGCCCAGTGGATCTTTGGAAGTCTTTTGGCTCTTTGTATGTCACGGACAAAATCACGACCAAGTCCCCCCCAAAAAACCACAGCAAACTCGACTCCCACACCAAACTTAACCAATGTCTTTATGGACCTATTTGTTTTTTTTCTGAATGCAAACTGCATGACTAGGATGTGACATCACTACTTGATCTTATACACAGGTCTAATGTTTTGAGTGATTGAGTTGATAAATTGCTCCAATACTTTTGTACATTTAGTGTATGAATTTAGATTCTTTACTGAGTGGTAGTTTTTACACAAAGACTTTGAATCTTAGATGATGTTCTATTAATGTATCGAGTCCAGCTGAATCACTGTTTTGATTTCATCAACATGCTCCAATTATAATAATCAGTGTGTTGATAATGTCACCATAGTCGTTCTGCGATACACATCAATACTAGTACTAGTGTTAGTGATTCCCCCACTCATACTCACACGGCCAAAGCGGACAGTTCGTTGATCAAGCATTCTTAAGAATGCTTGGCAGGACAGTCCTGGTGCTGCCATCTTCAATTCTTCATAAGAACAAAAAACATCTGTAGCGTACACCGTGGAAAAGTGAAGGGTAGCGGGCCAGTAGTCATTACGGACTAAGTCCCACATTTCATCTCAGGCATACTGAGATCATATCGTCCTGGAAAATCAGGAAAAGTAGCTTACATTACTATCACCTATGTAGTACATTCAGAACTAATAAAACTTAAAATCAGACATCTGGCAGTCTTTCTCATTTGTCAAGTGCCTCTTTTGTGAGACAGAACGCAAAACTGAACATCCCTCCTGCCTATCCTGGGTCTTTCACAGGCGGGAGATGCACATAAGGGTATAGATGCGGGCGGGAGCGGACTAAAACACATTATTGCGGAACGGGACAGAATATTGTGGGAACGGGGGGGCAGGACTGAAAATCCTGCCCAGCGCAGACCACTAGGGACGTTTGAATAGAATAGATCAGGACACATTTACAAAGCCAACAGCACTGCCTTTTTTTTTTCTATTCAAATAGGACAATGAAAAGTGGCAGGAAGCGAGTGGGAGAGCCCTATGGGGTGGAATCAGGTCTAAAGTCCAACCCAGGTCCCTATGGGCACTTTGCCCAGAATGTGATATGGAGCTAAAGCCACTTGATCTGGAATGTTCCCTTAAGTTCATTTTATTCTTACCATTCATTGTAACCACAGCAACAACTTTCCTGTGTTGACACTCAACGATCCCGGAGAACAACTACATATTTTTTTGGGAATCTCCAACGGCACAATACACACTGAAAGACACATCATATGCAGGGATTAAAGACATGCATCATCCTATGTACTACTGGGAAGTATTCTGCATCATTTTCTTTTTTCTTTTTATCATGATTTGAAAAGCTTTAAAGATAAAGGTCATTAAGTGTTTCAGAGAAAGTACTCAAAACATTCCTGTGAAGCCTATTATACTGTAAAGTTATTTAAATAAACTGAGAATGGGACTAGTGCTGCACAATATATAATTGCACTTTTTCTGACAGATAAAGCGATTACCATTTCCAATTCAATTTTTGAATGTGTATGATCTGATCAGTTCAATATTCCAATGTCTCTTTAATTTGTGCCACCCCTGATAAGTAAGCACAGTGTACAAGACTAACACCCACTGACCGACTGAAGTTCACCAATCAGAATTTTGTCCCCTTCACCACTACGCACACCCACCAACCAGAAGTTGCACAGTCAAGGAGGATGACGTGAATATAAAAGTCAAATGTCACAATGATATTTGAAGATTTTACCATTAGGCAGTTGCGTTGGATCATATTGCAATTACGATTGCAATAATTGTGCAGCCCTAAATAAGACACTCAAAGAAATAGAGCTTACCACAGTGGGAGAGCCCTCTCCGACACAGGTTGTTGGGGCAATGGCTGAAAGAATCCAGCTATTGTTCATCCCTGTTGTGGAACACATGGTTTCGGTGTATACTGACATCACAATCAGCACAAAAGAATGGTTGTGGTCGGCAGTCACGACAACGGACAGCAGCTGCACGCTGCCACATTGTTGGCAGATCTGAGTGTTCACATTTTGTTGTGCCACCATGGTTTCCCAGACAGGGTCTCTCTTTCTCCCACCTCTCTGAGAGGAGACTTTTTCTAGTAACCAGTCTGAGGAAGCTTGTGGTGGTGCTGGTGCCGTTTCCTGATCATCCAAGTCATCACCTGAGTGGTTTAGCTCTTCAGGAAAGTCTCTGTTAAAATAGTACATCATATTTCAAAACATTTTCTACACTATCAAAGTGTGCAACATGTTCGGTTATTCTGTCGCAAAAACATGTAATTACATTCTAATTATTAGAATCTATAAACATAATGAACTAATAGACCAAATAAAGAACATACCAACAGTGTCAGGGGGACAGTATTGGTTATCTCAAGCTGTTGTCCAACATCCTAGTATGAGAACTAGACTTACGACGTAGCTGTGACTAGCTGTACAAAAATAAAACCCAAATCAACCTTTACAGCATTACAATTCCATAGATTTTGACAAGCTCATTTTATTCCACACAATGATACATACT